GAAGGAAGGAAGGAAGGAAGGAAGGAAGGAAGGAAGGAAGGAAGGAAAGGAAAGGAATAAAGAAATAATAAAAAGAAAAAGAAAGCACTGATACTTGGGAAATATTTAATATTTGGGAATTATTCTAGTCACTTTCTGTTGCTCTGATAAAACAAACACTGACCAAAACCAGCTTAGGGAAGAAAGGATTTATTTGGTTTACAAATCCAGATCACACTCTATCATTGAGGGCAGCCAAAGTAGGAACTGGAGCGAGAGCAAAGGCAGGAAGGACACAATAACACTTCTTACTGACTTGTTCCCTATGGCTTTCTTAAACACTCAAGGAGCATCAGGCCAGGGGAGGCACTGCCCACAGTGGACTGGGATATCCCACACCAACAATTAAACAAGAATATGCCCCCACAGACTTGAATACAGGATAATAAAGATATTTAAAAAAATCTCAACTGAGGGTCTCTCTTCACAGGGGACTCTAGCTTATATCAAGATGAACAAAACTAACAAGCACAGGATATGAAACAAGGTCTCTGTAAAAAGAAGACATTCAACTTGCTACACGTCTTTAATTTAATGTGTTCACTGCCACATATTTGTAGTGTGTATTTTCAGACATCTTTTAAAATCTTTTGCCACACAGGAACAAATCTCATGACATTTTATACATTATATATTTATATTTATATTTATATATTTATATTTATATATTTATATTTATATATGACATTCTACTTTACAGAATGCTCTTATGTTATTAGCACAGTTTAATAATAACAAAATTCTTAGAAGACGGAAAGATAAAGATTACATACCCAATTAGAGGAATCTCTAGTACTTTATTTCCTACAAAAATAAGCATGTGGTCAAATGTGTCTTCATCTTTATTAGGATGATATTCCACTATTGCTGTCATGTGAAGGCCAGAAGCAAGTTCCTTATCCAGCTTGGTCAACAACAGTTTGAACTTTAGTGGAAAAAAGATAAAATCAACATAATTATAGTTCCTTATAAAGAATTATTAGGAGCAACTGAACTTAGGGAGTGTACATTATTATCAAGCACAAGTCTTATTCAGAGCTAAGAGAAAAAAAAAACTTTTAAAAACTTTAAACTGACAAATGATAATTGTCCATATTTTTGGACAGTGATGATTAGGCCTGTATTAAAATATCCGTTTTAGTTCCTAGTCTGATAAGAGTAGAGATGTGTCTGTTCCACCCACAGTAAATACTCAATAAATACCTAAAGTGTGACACAAAGCTTTCCACTAATTAGTAATTCCTGAAGGAATCAAGAACATTATGTGTCAAATGGCAATTAAGGGGAACACGGACTATTTCTAACAGGATCTCAAGGGCAGGCTGTTTGACCCCCTCCCCCAGGGGAGGAGCAGTCTGTTAGGCCACAGAGGAGGACTTTACAGCCAGCCCTGAAGATACCTGATAAAACAGGGTCAGATGAAAGGGGAGGCGGTCCTCCCCTATCAGTGGACTTGGAAAGTGGCAGGGAGGAGACCAGGGAGGGAGTGGGGGGTTGGGGAGGGAATGAGGGAGCAGGATACAGCTGGGACACAGAGTTAACAAAATGTAACTAAAAAGAAAAATAAAATTATATATATATATATATATATATATA